CAGACAGACAGACAGACACAGACGGACAGACAGACAGACACAGACGGACAGACAAACGGACGGACAGACAGACAGACAGACGGAAGCCGTGCACGTCAGAGGTGCGTTGGCAACAAGGTGAAACGGATATGGTGAGGTGACACAGAGAGCGTGCCAAGCATGGTAATTAACAACAGAGGAGGGAAGGATGAGGGCAAAGAGGAGGAGGAGGGGGGAGGAGGAGGAGCAGGAGGAGGAGGAGGAGGAGGAGGAGGAGGAGGAGGAGGAGGACGAGAAGGAGGAGGAGGGGGACGAGAGAGGAGGAGGAGGAGGAGGAGGAGGAGGAGGAGGAGGAGGAGGAAGCCGGCCCAGGAGGCCCCAAGACGGCCTCAGGGAGGCCCAAGAGGGCCCCGTTCGAAATCATGTGCCCGGAAGCCTCTCCGGGAACATGACTTCCGGGCTCCCAGGGCCCCCTTTTTGGGTTCCAGGACAGCCTCAGCGAGGCCCAAGAGGGCCCGAGATGGCTTCAAGATGGCTTCAAGAGCCCGTCCCCGTTGTAGAATTTACATATTCAGCATACTCCCTTGCTTTGTCTTCGCAGTGCCCCAGACGCCCCCGAGGAGCCCCAAGACAGCCCTAGAGAGACCCAAGAGGGCCCCAGACGGCCCAAAAGGGTCGTCCTGTGGGGCTGACGGAACCTCCCAAGACGGCCCAAGACGGCCCAAGACGGCCCAAGAGGCCCCGAAGCCGGCCCAAGAGGCCCCCAAGACGGCCTCCAGGAGGCCCAAGAGGGCCTCGTTCGAAATCATGTTCCCGGAAGCCTCTCCGGGAACATGATTTCCGCGTTCCGGGGACGCCCAAAGACAGTCCCCAGAGGCCTCGGACACGCCGAAGATTGCCTCAGGACGGCCGACGACGCAGCCAAAACGCCCCAAGAGCGCCTCCGGAGGCCCGCCCAAAGGGTCCCAGAAGCCGCAAATTATAAATTGTCCAATGGTTTTTGAAGCATTCTTGCGCTCTCCCATGTTCGGCCTCCCGACGGTCCCGGACCGCGTCAGAAGCCCTTCAGATCGCTCCAAGATGGGCGAAGAGGCGCCCAAGAAATCCCAGAGACGGCCCAGGAGGCTCCCCAGATGAGTCAAGAGGGCCTCGAGAGCGCCCCAAGAGAGCCCCAAGAGCGACCCAACGGGCCTGAAGAGCGCGACATTTCAAGGTCTCCGGCCTGAGAAGCTCCCAAGACGCCCCCGGAGGCCATCAAGAGGCTCCCCAAAAGCCCCGTGAGGCTCCCAAGAGGCCCCCCGGAAGCCCCAATAGGCCCCGAAGGGGCTCCCAGGGAAGTCCCCTGTGGGCTCCGTAGACACTTCGGTAGATCGCATTTCCCAGATAGCTTTCCGAGAACATGATTCCTTGGGCTTCCGCCCACCGCCCCAACCATGTTTCCAAGAGGCTTGCCGACAAGGACAAATGGCGCCCTTCGGTAAGCCTCCAGAGGCCCCCGTCTTAGAGAGCCGAACAAATCATGCTCCCGGAAAGCTTCCCGGGAACATGATTCTCTTTTTCTCGGAGTAGGCCCGGGGGGGGCGGCGGGCCGCTGTTCGGGGGGGGTCCAGAGCTCCCGATGCGGCCCGAGCCCGCCCCGAAGCAGGCCACGACAGGCGAAGGGGGCCCCGAGAGGGCCCAAGACGGTCACACGAGGCCCCGAAGACGCCCAAGATGCCCTCAAGACAGCCGACGAGGACTCCAACACGCTCCAGGACGGATTCAAGAGGCTCCCCAAGAGCCCAAGAGGGCCCTGGAAGGCAAGATCCACTTGTTTTCCGAGTGTTTTGGATTTAGGCGTTCTCGCTATTCACGCTTTCCAGCGCTCCCTTCACGGCCTCGGAGACCCTTCAGCTCGCTCCAAGAAGACCCACGAGGCCCCGAGGAGGGCCCCAAGACGGCCCAGGATGCTCCGCAGACAACCCAAGTGTGCCCCAAGAGCGCGCCAAGAAAAGGCCCAGAGAGGTCGCGAGGCGGCCCAGGCCCGCCCCGAAGCAGGCCACGACAGGCTAATGGAGGTCCCGAGAGGGCCCTAGACGGTCCCAAGAGGCTCCGAAGACCCCCAACCTGCCCTCAAGACGGCCGACGAGGACTCCAACACGCTCCAGGACGGACTCAAGAGACTCCCCAAGAGGGCCCTGGAAGACAATATCCACTTGTTTTCCGCGCGTTTTTGAAAGATTTAGCCGTTCTCGCTGTTCCCGCTTTCCAGCGCTCCCTCACGGCCTCGCTCGGAGGCCCTTCAGATCGCTCCAAGACGGACCACGAGGCCCCGAAGAGGGCCTGTGATTTCTGCAGATTTCCGGAGTGTTTGCTCTGGGAATATAGGATGTCGCAAGTGATTAGCATGCGTGTATGCAGCGCCGGCGCTTGGGCTCGAGCTGATAAATGCCGGCCCCCCTCCCCCGCAGCGTAGAGAATCCATGGAGGTTTCGGCAGAGACGACGGAGTTCAGCGCTGAGACGAGCCTCGACGACGGAACGATCTTCGAGGGCGAGGCCCAGCCAGAACGAGGTTGGTAGCGGAGCCTGTGGTTGGCCCCGCATCTCCAAGGACGGACAGATAGAGAAGAGAGACTAGCCATCTCGCAGACTACGAACATGGCGGAGCACAACAGTGCGGTGGACCCGAAGATACCGGCGCTGAAGGGAGAAGCGTTGAAGGATTTCACCAGATACAAGATAGCAGTTCAAGCGGCGGAGCTGAGCTGCGAGAGCAAGGGGTCAAAACAGGCGCTCGGTCCGAAGCTGCACAGGAACCTGCTGGGCGCGGACAACTCCATCAGCGTGCTGATTGAACGGGCGAACCCGAAAGACTACGCGACGGAGGACGGCGCCCAGACACTGCTGAGGTTCCTCGAAGAGCAGCGCTTCGCCAAGAGCAGTTCAGGGAATTGCCGAAGGCTTTCGACGCTTTCTTCGACCAGACGCACTTCGAGGAGAAGGGCGAAGAGCCGATGGCAGCGTTTTGTACGGCGAGTGGAACCAGACACGAAGATCAGTGCGAACGAGGTAGGGTACCACGCGCTGAAGAGAAGTGGACTGGACAAAGACGAGCGCAATCTAGTGATAGCACGGGCAGATGAGACCTTCAACTTCCAGAAGATTAGCACGACGCTGAAGAACCTCTTCCCACGAGGTGGAGGTCGGCGCCGGGATCGACTGGCATCGAGAACGAGCTGGCGATGGGCGAACTGCAATGACGGCGAGCGCGACCCGGGCGACGAGGACCAGAGCGTCGAGCACGACGGTTACTGGGTCCAGGACGACGACGGCTACTGGTACGAGTGGGACGAAGAATACGGCGTCTACGCGTTCGCGGAGGGTGGCGACGACACTTGGGACAGCAGCGACCTGTTCTACATCGAGGGCGAAACCGACGTCTACTTCGCGAGCGAGGACGACGAGTGCCAGCAGGCCCTCGTCACGCTGCGCGAGAGCAGGCTGGAGATGAACAAGATCCGGCGGCTCGAGGTTTCTTCGAGGGGCGAATCGATGGAGTAGTGGACGAGGGCGCGGTGGCCGGCGGCAAGGCAGCCGGGGAAGGTGGCAAAGGCGGCAAGGGCAGGGGCGGCGGGAAAGGCATGTCCAAGGACAAGAGGTGGACCAACTGCGGAAGAATGGGCCGCGCTGCCCCGGACTGCCCGACGCCGCGACCTCCGAGGCCGGCAGGCAGTGGCTTCAAGGGCCGCGGCAAGATCTCGAAGGCTCAATCTCGTCCACGACGGCTGGGTTTTCTGGGCGATGACCACATTGGCGTGCGTCATGCCGGACATGTTCCACCAGAAGGACGTCCAGGGCCTGGAGCTCGCGACGGAGATGTTCCAGGAGCCAGAGGTGCCAGAGGTGGAGAGGTGATCCGATCCTGCCGGAAGTGCCAGAAGTGGACGCGATGATCTCGAGCGCGATCGTGCCAGCTACCCTGGTGGACAGCGGGGCCTCCGCGGCGGTGGCAGGGCGCGGCTGGCTGGATAAGATCGCGGTGGAGCTCGAGAAGTACGGTCTGAGGCCCATCACCGTCGAGGTGAGCCAGAAGTTCAAGGGACTCGGCGGCGCGCGACGTGAGGCGAAGCAAAAGTGGATCATCCCGATCGGTATAGGCAAGAAACATGTCTTGCAGTAGCATTTCGAGATCCCCGGTGACATCATTGGCCTGGCGAGCAAGAGGAACCTGGCGGACTGGAAGACGAACCTCCTACCTGCGCGAGGACGGCCAGTCGGCCGACTTCCAGGAGCTCGGGGTGTGCGACAAGGAGCTCGTGAAGCTTCCCGGCGGCCGCGCGGGCATCGAGATCCGACTACGACTTGGAGTCGTACGAGGCGGAGCCCCTCTTCGAGAAGTTCCGCATCAACGTCGAGAACGTCGAGCCGGAGGTTTTCTTGGTCGCGGAGACGCTGCAGGTGTCCATGCCGGACTTCAGGGTCAAGGGCGACGCCGATCGGTGGGTCCAGGAGGCAACGAAGAACGGCAACAAAGGGGATCTCCAAGAAGGGTGCGTTCAAGCGGATCGACAAGCTCATGAAGGAGTTTGCGGTTATATTCGACGTGCTGCGCGACAACAACGAGACATTTCTCTGGGAGTTGTTCGCGAAAGAGGCTCGCTTTACCCATGTGGCTTCGAAGGGCGGTCGCGCGAATGCGACCCCGCCGGACCTGTCAGTTGGCGTGAACTTTAACGACCCTCGGACGCGATCAGATTTCCTGTTTGCGATCAGGACCCTCAAGCCCTGGATGTTTTCGGTCGCATTCCCGTGTACCGCCCATGCGAATATGCAAGAGTTACAGCGTGCTCAGGGCATGGGCGACAGGGTGGACGACCTCATCCAGGAGCTTCGGCCGTTGATGGACTTTTCGGCGGAGGTGCTCAAGATTCAGGCCGAAGGAGGACGGATCGGCATCGGCGAGAATCCCCATCACCAGCCGGGCGCGGCGGGAAGTTCCGATCGTGGACCTGTTGAGCTGGCGCGGGAACAAGCCGCCACTCTACGAGGCGGTCACGCTGCGCCAGTGCATGCACGGGCTCGTGGACAACTACGGCGACCCGATTCGCAAGCCGACGTGCACGATGGTGCCCAACGGTTCGTGCTTCCCTGGGCTCGAGCGCAGGTGCGACGGGAGCCACCAGCGCGCCGATATGGTCGGGCGGGGCCCGGCACTGGCACCAGCGGGCGCCTGGCCGAACGACCTGGGCAAGGCTCTGGCGGGCGCCGGCGCGCACGAGCTGGCGCGACGGACAAGCCCGAAGGAGATGGGCATCGGGAGGGGCGCGACGAGGTCCCCGAGCAAGCAGATCGTGAACGCAGTGGCCAGGGCGTTCATGCTAAGGAGGTTCCGCCCCCTCGCGGGGCAGTGCGGCGCATCTGCGCGATGAACTCCAGCGAGGGCGCACTGGCGGACTGCAGCGACGCCCGCGCTGGCGACCCGGGCTTCGCGGCGATCAATCTGGTCAAGCGGTTCCCCACTGACGCGGTGATCGCAGTCTACGTGGCGGAGCCGAAGGTGCAGACGCCCTTCCCTGCGACGGTGCGCGTCTACGGGAGCAAGCCCAAGACCTTTGAATCAGATAATCGCGAAGCTGACACGGCACATCGAGACCTACAACACGAGGGTGAGAGTTTCGGGGATAAGCCTTCGGACATCACCGCGGCCCAGTGGGGCGCTCTCAAGAAGCTCCACATCAACCTGAGCCATTCTTCTGCTCGCGCGCTGAAGGGGCGACTGAAGTCCTATGAAGCGTGTCAGCAAGTGCTGGGTTCGGTTGACAAGCTGGACTGCGGCGTGTGCAAGGAGCTCGGCAGGCCGACTACGGTGAGAAGCTCGAACCTGAAGCTCTCGACGGAATTCAACGAAAACGTGTTCCTAGACGAGGCCGAAGTGATACTTGCAGACGGGACCCGACTGATGGTTATGGTGATCTTGGACGACGCGTCGGGCTTCCGGACAATCATCCCTACCGCTGCAGTGAGGTCCATCACCGGCGAGGAGAGCCTGCGATTTTTTTCTCGCAAGGCTGGCTATCGTGGGCTGGGCCACCCAAGGTGCTGTACTACGACGCGGCCAAGGGTCACATCACGAAGCGGTTCGCGGAGATCGGAGAGAAGTGCACCATCCTGGTGAGGCCGGTACCAGCAGAGGCGCCCCAGCTCAGGGGTCGAGTGGAGCGCGCGATTGACTTGTTCAAGGACCACTTGCAGCGCCTGGACCGCGACATGCAGCTTGCCAAAAACGACGATCCGCATGTGTGGACATCGGTGATAGCGAGTACGCGCAACAACCACACTCGGCGGAATGGCTTCACCCCTTACCAATGCGCGCTGGGCCGGTCGCCTGGCACCCCAGCTTCGCTGATCGAGGCGATGGAGGGCGACCAGAGGCAGCTGGCATGGCAGAGGGCGGCTCTCTTCGAGGAGGGCCCGAGGAGAGCAGAGCAGATACGCGCGGCGGCGAACAGTGCGTTCTTCGAGCTGGACAGTGACGACGCCGTCAGGAGGGCCATGGTCGGCCGAGCTCGCCCGCCGCGTGGACCGTTTGTGCCGGGCCAGCTGGTGTTCTACTGGCTCGAGGTGAAGCATGTGAAGTCGAAGAGGCTCCAGGGCGAGCACGGCTGGCGTGGGCCAGCGATCGCGTTGGCGACCGAAGGCCGCGCGAGGCTACACCTCAGCTACCGCGGGGCGCCTGTGCTCGCGGCGCCCGAGCAGGCGCGGCACGCCTGCCGCAGCGAGGCGGAGACGGTGGAGAACGAGGACTTGGTCAGGCAGCTCTCTCACTGGCGCGGGGGACCTACATCCCAGAAGGGGCTCATTGACGAGCGTGGACCTGGGCCATACGGGAGCGACAAGACGGGCGCGCGCCGCGAGAGGGACGAGAAGGGCTCGGACCACGAGGACGGTGTGATCGACACGCCAACGGCTAAGGCACCGCGCGCCGAGCCGGCTCCACCACCGCCACGGCCAGTGGTCGAGGCGACGCCGAAGAAGGAGCGCGAGGAGGAGGACGCACCTGCACCTGGATACCTATCTGGAGTACCACCACTACCGGGAGGAGGACCGGTTCCTCCATAACAAGCTACAGACCCACCTGCTGCGGCAGCTGGGCAGGGGCACTCCATGGACCTGGACGCGGCGGCTGCTCCAGGCATTCCGCATCAACAGCAACAGCAACCAGATCGAGCTGAGCAACCAGAACCTGCACCACGACTCAGCTTCAAGCGAACGCTTCCCGACGACCAGGAGGCAGATCGCGAACGCCTACGACTGCGACGCGAGGCTCTCAAGGGCAGCTCCATGCGCCGCTCGAAGGCACCAGACGACCCGATGGATCAGGAAGCACTCTTCGCCAAGACACGACGAAGAAGCACCCGGAGGACCGACGCGACGAAGAAGCAGCATCACACAGGAGTGGAAGGCGGCTTTCGAAGCGAGCGACCTGGAGGAGTGGCGCAAGTGGGTCGAGTACGACGCAGTGGACTGGCCGACCGGGGAGGAGCTCGCGGGGGTGGACAAGACGGCGATCTTGCCCATGAGGCGCTCTCGTACGGACAAGAGAAAGGCGACGAGGGGCAGCCCGTCGTACGAGCAGCACCCGCTCAAGGCGAAGTCCCGGAACATTGTTCCAGGATGCAAGGACAAGCAGCTGCTCGCTGGCGAGTTGCAGACCAACGCCCCCGCTCTGACGGACACGGCCACGGCGGTGATCCTGCAGGAGGCCGCGAGCCAGTCGGGTTGGAGGCTCGAACAGGGCGACGTCGACTCGGCATTTCTGAACAGGAAGTACCTCGACAGTTCTCGACGCGTGCATTTCCGCGCGCCGAAGGGCGGCCTGCCGGCCGTGCCGGAGATGGGCTGGCCATCCGTTCCAGAAGGTGCGGTGCTGAGAGCGAAGAAGGGGATCTACGGGCTCTGTTTGTGGTACGAGGAGCATCGCGACGCCATGCTGTCTCTCCCAGGAGCGTCGAGATCGAAGTTGCGCCCGGCTCTCTTCATCTTCCACGACGAGAATGAGAAGTTGATGGGCCTGATCGGGACGCACGTGGACGACGATGTGGTAGCGGGCTCGCCCGAGTTCTTCGCTAACCAGGAGACCAACTTGAGGAAGATGCACTGCTGCGGCACGTGGCAGACGGCGAAGACCGCTTTCCACCACTGCGGGAGATCCCTCAAGCAGAGCAACGATGGCACCATCACCTGCAGCCAGAGGGAGTATACCGAGAGCATCGAGAAGATCCCGATCTCAAACGAGCGTCGCAAGGACAAGGAGGCGAAGGCCACGCCCGAGGAGGGCGATGCTCCACAGCGGCAACCGCCAGATTCAGTGGCTAGTGCGATCTACCCGCATGGACTTGGCATTTCGACTGGCGGAGAGTCAAGCGAGGGCTCGCGACAGCGATCTGGGGGTTCAGGACTTGCTTGACTTCAACAAGCTAAGACGGACCACGTGGACATCACCTTCCAGAAGATCAACATAGACGACGCGATCGTGGTGGCGGTTGGAGACTCGAGCCACGGCAACGTGGGCAAGACGGAGACCGCGAGTCTGGCGGGCCTGGTCATCCTGCTCGCAGACAACAAGGACGATCAGCTCCTTCGCGGGAGGCTGGCCAAGGTCACTCCCATGTTGCGGCGATCGCACCGCATCAAGCGGGTGGTGCGCAGTACCCTGGCGGCCGAGGCGATGGCGGCGCAGGAGGCGGTCGAGAGTGGCGACATGCTGAGGCAGCACTTGGTGGAGATGCACTACGGGCTAGGTTACCGGACCCACATGGACGACGTGAAGGCGATCAAGATGGTGGAAGTCACGGACTGCAAGTCGCTCTACGACCTGCTCCAGAAGCGAGGGACGGTGCCCTCCGAGAAATGGCTGCTGATCAACATCGAGTCGCTCAGGAACGATCTGGAGTTCAACAACGCGGTGAGCAAGTGGGTGAGCACGAAGCAGATGCTCGCCGACTGCCTAACAAAGCACGACGTCCGCGCTGGCGACTACAGGCGGTGCGTGCTCCAGACTGGTGAGTACCGGCTGACGGGGGGATCTCATGGCGGACCAGATCATAGCCAAGCAGAGGATGGAGCTTAAAGGGCGCAGGGGTGGATACTACCGCTCGAAGTATCCCAAGAGGCAGCGACCTGCCGACCAGCTCTTTGTTCACGAGGGCTACACCTACTTCGAGGACTGGCATTGCGGAGTTGAGGTGCAATGCGCGCGTGGCTCAGCCTGCTCCGAAGCCCTACCTCCGTTGGCGGATGATTCTCGGGCAGCGCGATGACGTTATCTAATGCGATAAGCCCGAGGACATGGTCGGCTGGTCTGGCTTAGACCAGGTGACGAAGCGTCGGAGGATCCCGACCCAGGTGCGGAAGCTGTCGACGATCTACGCACCGACCAAGGCGGCCCTCGAGCGATACGAGAAGGATTTCACAGAGAAGCACACCATCAAGAAGCCGAAGGTGACGAACGATGAGGACCCCCAGAAGGAGCTAGGTGTCACCGAGGAGTTTGGTGCGCACGTGGAGTCGGACGAGAACGTGAAGTTGGGATAGCATCGACGTCGCGGAGATCTACATGATGGACGCTGCGGGTGCCGAGTTTGAGGAGATCAAGTCAGGCGCCGCTGCAGCTGCGACGGTGACGGTGTGCGCTTTGTGCCGGATGACGCTGAACCAGTGCGAGTGCGGACCGAGGACACGCAAGAAGCCGCATCGGGCATCTACCTCTGCGCGTTCCGACGACCTGCCTGCTGTACCTGATGACGAGGGTGATGATGACGAGGAAGCAGGGACATGGCAGAAAGGTACCGCACCGGCGCAAGGAACCTACTAGACCGACGAAGAAGTAGATGCTGGAGGCTCGCGCGCTACACGAGAGGACCGGACATTCATCGCGCGAGAAGATCGCGGGCGAGTTCGGCGACGCGATAGAGGGCGGTGTTCTAGAGGCGCACGAGCTGGCGGTCAAGAACTGCGACGAGTGCCGTCGAGGCAAATAGACCTGCGCCTCGATGCAGCGCGGGGCCAAATGCAGTGTGTTCGAGACGCACGAGTCCACGAGCAAGGCCAAGGGCAAGCTTAAGGGGAAGCAGATGGCCCGAAGCAGCATAGGCGACTGCGAGCACAATCTGGCGACTACACAAGAAAGTAACCAGTACAAGGACAAGCTCCGGTGCCTGCAGCGTGGCATGCTGCTAGTGGACGCGGACGCGACCTGTTGGAAGCGAGAGAAGGAATATCGCGAGATCGAGAAGACATTGCGCACGAGCAAGGAGAAGGATATGAAAGCCGAGATGAAGGCCATGTGCCTCCGCGACATGTAGAGAGGATGACGAAAGAGAGGCCAGTGAGTCGAGCAATGGAGCATGTTCGGCGGATACGTGATGCACTGCTACGCCGTGTGCGACTACGACGCAATTTTGGCGATCAGCACGGGTGTTGCGCTGTTTGCAGCGACGCCTGTCTTTTGCTGTTGAACTGGGTGCTACGCCCAGCGCCCGCCTGCTGCGTGTCGCGCTTAGTTAGAGAAAATAAGATGAGTGTGATGTCTGAAGATTTCCGGCGGGCTTGCTCTGGGAATATAGGATGTTGCAAGTGACTAGCATGTGTTCATGCAGCGCCGGCGCTTGGGCTCGAGCTGATGAGCGCGGGCTGCCCCCCCCCACGGCAGGAGCATCGGGATAGAGCAGCCATCGAGGTTTCGTCAGAGACGACGGAGTTCGGTGCTGAGACGAGCTTCGACGACGGAACGATCTTCGAGGGCGAGGCTCAGCCAGAACGATGGGGGCCCCAAGACGGCCCAGGAGGCTCCCCCAGACAACCCAACTGCGCCCCAAGGGCTGCCCAAGAGTGGGCCAAGAAGGGGACCGCCAACCCATATTTCATGGTCTCGGGCCCTAGAGGCCGCCCGTAGGCCCCCGGAGGCCACCGAGAGGCTCCCACGAAGCCCCGCGAGGCGCCCAAGAGGCCCCCCCGGAAGCCCCAAGACACCCCCAAGGGGCTCCCAGGGAACGCCCAAGAGGCCCCCCAACAGACCCCAAGAAATCGTGCCCCCAGAAAGCGTTCTGGGGACATGGTTCATCATGGGCCCGAGAGTTCCCCGACGCCCGTCAGGAGCCCTCCAGGGGGCGCCCAAGAGATCCCCGCAATACACCCCAACAAACAAAGTTCCCAGAAAGCCTTCCTGGGACATGGTTCATCATGAGTCCGCGAGTCTTCGGAGGCTTCGAAGTGCCATCATGCTACAGGAGAGCTGCTGGGGAGTTGATTGGGGACATGACTGATCGCCTTCTCGCGGCCCTCCGCAGATCGTTTCGTGCAATTTTGCCCCAAGTGCCCTCTTGAACCGACGACGACGACGACGACGACGAAACGACGAAACGACGAAGACGACGACGCCGACGACGACGACGACGGCGCGCCCCAATAGGCGACGACGACATTACGACGACGACGACGACGACGACGACGGCACGCCCCAACAGGGTCCCCAAGACGCCCCCAAACTCATGCTCCCAGAAGGCCTTCTGGGAACCCGATTCACACGGCCCCCGCCCCCCTACACAACAATTGTCTTCGAAGGCCTTACGGAATGCAGATTGGCATGCTGTGGTGCACTACTTCTGTGGAGTAGTGCATTGGTCAAGGCCTGGGGCCTGCTAGAACCTGAGCGTGCGCGAAGCGCGCGCGATGGTTCTAGCATGTGTGTGCTTGCACGGGAAGGCAAGGGGTATTGTTTCGGGTGGTGTCTCCGTGTTGCCATAATGCATGCTCAAGCCTCTTTTCTCTCGTCAGAGGCGTCCATGGGCCCTGGGGGCGGGAGGCCCCCTGTCGCGGCCCTCGCGGCGGCCCTCGCCTGCGCGGCCTGGCGCGCCGTTGAAGTCGGCCTTCTGCCCGAGGGTCTGCTCGGGGCGAGCCCGCCCCCGCCCCCGCCGCCGCCGGCCCAGGCAGCCGTGGCGTTCGGGGGCGAGGAGGCGGCAGGCCCGCCAGCCTGGCGGGAGGCCGTCTGCCCAGCGGCGCCCGCGTGCCCAGCCTATCCTGCTTGGCCGCGCCCGCAGGTGGAGCTGCAGGGCCCGTCGGCGGCCGAGCAGGCCGCGCGGCTGCTGCTGCCGCCCGTGCTGACCAACGCCCTGGGCTACCTGGCGGGCCGCTGGTGCGTGCGAGGCCGCCCCGCTGCGGGAAGACATGGCGCCCCCCCCGTTCGGCGCGGAGGAGGAGCAGTGCAATGAGCTGGCTCCAGGCCAGCACGTGGCCATGGAGTACGTGGGGGACGACGTGGATCATGAGAGGATCCCCCTCCGCCCGCTGGGTGGCGGGGCGCGGTGGATTCGCGCCCTCGACGGGGGCGATTATTTCCAGGACGTGGCGTGCCACGACGCCCGCGATGGTCCTGCGCGCTGCCGTCTGCTGTCTGCTGACGGCTCGTTGCCCCCTGGAGGCCGCGGGCGCGGCCGGCGTGAGTTCTACCGCTTTGCAGAGCGGGCGGGGGCCCCGGAGCTGCGCGACGGCATCCTGCGCGCGCGGCGCGCCTGCGAGGCCGAGTGCCGGCCCGACCAGCGCCCGTTAGTGCCTGAGCGCGTGCAGGAGCCTGGCGGCGAGCTGATGCCGATAGCCCGCTTCTTCGGCGGCAGCTTCCCTCCTGCGCCCGCCGTGAGGGTGCGAGGCAAGAGCCGGCTGCCGCTCGGGCTGGCGAGGCCAGAGAGGCCGGCGGAGGGGGCGACAGGCACGGCCGCGCCTTTGGCCGCGGAGGAGGCGGAGCTGGATGCCGAGGCGCTGCCGCTGCTGGCTGGACATGCGCGGGCGCTGGCGGAGCCCGTCCTTCCCGCTGCCCTCGGCAGCGAGGTGGACATCCGTGAGACTACGTTCGCGGGCGCCTCGGCGACGTCGGGGCTGGCCCTCGTGGACGGCGCCCTCGCCAGAGTGGCGCGGCTCGCCGTCGAGGACGTGCCCGAGTACGCCGACGCGCAGACTGCCGAGCTGCGCCGGCGCCTGGGCGCGACGGGAGCTGGGGCCGAGGCGGACCTCCGCGACCGCTTGGGCCGCCCGCCGCTGCCGCCGCCAGCCGAGATGCCCCCCCCGAGGGGGGGGAGGTTCCGGCGCCGATCAAGAGCGAGGACGTCAGATTGCTGGCAGTGGACTTCGACGGCCAAGGCGAACGCTTCGGGGCCCCCCCGACCCTGGCCGGATTCAAGGGGCTGGCGGCCGCCCCAGACTGGGCGGCCTCGCGGGGGCAGCGAAGCCCCTTCCCGCTCCCGCTGCTGCCGCTGGACGCGGTGCGCCCGGGGCGCGGACGAGCTCGCACTGACGTGGCGAACGACGCGCTGAAAGCACTGAACTGGATGGCTGGCAGCGAGGAGTTTTTGTGGGCCGATCGCGGGCCCGACATCTTGCCCGATGATATGCAGGCGGATGTCCAGCAGAGGGTGTGCAAGTTGGTTGATAGCTGGCACCCGCGCCCTCCGCTCCTCAGCGACGAGGCGGCTCTCAAGAAGTTGCTTCAGGGGCACTCCCCGTGCCGGTCGGCGGGTTGTCCGACAAGGGTCACGTCCTTCAAGCTCGACCTCCTGAGCCTCCCTGGCTCAGTTCGAGGGTGTCCACTGATCACCGACGTGGCGCCCTCGGAGGTCATCGGATTTCTGGAGGACTATCACGAGCGCATGTTGGCGCCGCCTGTTGAGAAGTATGAGACAGCACCTTACTTCGATCCTAAGCTTCGATACAAGCAGAATGAATATCATCGACTTCTCCGCCGCCTCGCGGACATTGGCATCATCTCGTGGACAGCGTCTCCGAAGTGCCAGGTGGGCTTTTTCACGGTAGAGAAAAATGGCGGCGCGGCTCAGAGGCTCATCGTCGATGCCAGGCTGGCCAACGAGTGCTTCCTCGCGCCGCCAGGCGTCTCGCTCTTGAGCTCGGAGGGGCTCTCCCGCGTGGAGGTGGAGCTGCCCGCCGACGCGCCGCTGGGGTCGGAGCGGGCCACCGAGCTGCTGATCGACTTCTACCTGTCGATCGGCCTCTCGGATGTCTCGAACTGCTTCCACAGGCTGCGCGTGCCAGCGCGGCTATCTGACTACTTCTGTCCCCCCCCGGCGCCGGCCCACGCGATGGGAGCGACGGGCGTGGGGGTCAATGGGCGCCCCCTCGGTCGCGCGGAGGCAGTGACGCCGTGCTGGGCCGTTTTGCCCATGGGCTTCACGTGGAGCTTGTGGGTCGCGCAGATGATCAATGTGGCCACCGTGACCAGGATGGCACCCTCTCTTCCTGGGGCCCCTTTGCATGATCGTGGGCCGCCGCTGGCGGTGAGGCCAGCCCAGGTTGAGGAGCGCACCGAGCTCGGACATTGCGTCTACGTTGACAACCTCGGAGTGATCGGAGTCTGCGAGGCCGCGGTTGGCGAGACGCTCGAGCGGCTGGAGGAGGGCTTCAACCGCGAGGGCCTGCTGTTGCACAAGTCCGAGCGGTCGCGCGCTGGCATCGTCGCGCTGGGCACGGAGCTGGGCGGGACTGCGATGCGGACGCGCGTCGCGCCCAAGCGTTTCTGGAGCGTCTACGAGGCGTTGGGAGCGCTGCTGCGGCGCCGGCGGGCCAGCGCCGAGGTCGTCCTCGGGCATTGCACGTTCGCCGCCCTGTGCTGCCGAGGCCTGCTCAGCGTGTTCCACTCGGTCTACGCCTTCGTGGAGCGTGGCCGCGCTTCAGGCCGCGCAGAGCCGCTGTGGGATGAGTGCCGTGCCGAGCTGCGCGTATTCAGGTCTCTCATGATCTTCGTGTTCAGTGACTGGTTGCGGGGCTGGAACGACCTGGTGGTTCAGACTGACAGCAGCCTCGAGGGCTACGCCGTGGCCCAGGCGCTCTGGCCCGTGCAGGCCGTGAGAGAGGTGGGTCGCACCCCGGAGCGCCAGCGCTTCCGCCGGGCGGGCCCCCACCGGGCGAGGGGGAGCGCGCTCGAGACCGCGGGTTTCAGCCGACAGGCGGACGGCAATTGGGCCTTGCGGCCGCCGCC